TATATATAATTGATTAGTAGTAGAGCTGCTCTTAATATTTTCTTACGGCCACCAACAATTACGTAATTTGCAAAAGTAGGAAGGAATTGGTAAAAAAACATTTTCCGATAAATAATTGATGATGTAATTAATTGATTTTATTTTGTTCACGGCATGCTTTTAAATATGGTGGTGCGAAAGGATATTGGGACCATACCGTAGAATGTTCTGATTTTTAAGAAAAAAATTTGTGGTTGAAAAAGAAATTGATAAATATATGTGAATTATATTTACTTGAATTAAATTCATATTTGTAATTTTTTTCTTTACATAAATATAAAATATAATAAAAAAAATAAATAAGTTTGAAAGAAATTTTTTGGGGCAATTACATGAAGGGCACTGGGAACTTTTATATTTACAAATCAAGCATTATCTTTCAATAATTTCTTAAGTTCTCACTCGAATATCAAAATTCATGATAACACCGAAAGCCAAAATTTTCATTTTTAACAATTTCTAAATGAATTGATCGTGGCACGCCTAAATGTAGAGGTTCAGTTGTTCAAAAAAATCACCTTGACATTTAATTTGTAAATAGGAATGTTTTGTATGTTTTCCTCGTAATTATCCCAAATTTTTCTATGGGGCAAGTCAGTATCATCACATCTAGACAAACTCTTCTATCAAAATAACTATAGAAGATAAAATGATAAATTTTGTTATGTGCACATAAATGCACGGCGGTAATGCAATATATTAATGTAATAGTGTTGTATGAAGATTTAACATACAAATATGTATAAAAAAATTGACAGATAATACACCATAAATTTTTGTGAACAAAATCCGAAGGGGCAAAAATTACGGGAACTGATTCAGTTGAAATGTTTACATTATGCCGACGTAGGTTACAAAATTTTACTGGCCCTTGAATAACACGTAGCAATATTTCACAAGTTGGATGTGACTTGTTATGGAAGTGACATAAATGTTGAGAAAGTGGTGTTGACCCAATTGTTGTAAAAAAGAGCCGACAGTAGGGTCGAGTGATAGAAAGTCTGATGCCAATTTTGTCGGTAGCTACAGTGATGGTTGAGCAGCAGAGGTCCAGTGGTGGTGACGGTGATATGGCGGTGTCGCGGCCAAATAAAGTGCCAAACAACGGTGGTCCGACAATTAAGGTGGTCTGGTGGCGCTGGTGTTGATCCGATTGTGGCGGCGGCTAGATGGTGATGACCAGACAACTGTGGTCTGGAGGTGTCAGGGTAGCGGTGGTTCAACAGTGATGGTCCAGTATAAGTGACGGTGGTCGAGCAGTGGTGGCGACTAGTGGGCGATAGTCGAGCAGTGACGACATCAGTTTGGTGATGAAAGCAGCTCGACGAAGATGGTCAAGTTGTGGTGTTCAGGTGGCACGCCGACTTAAGACGGTGGGTGGGAAGCGGTGACAGTGATCCAGTGAAGACGACAACTAATCGGTGGTGGTCTGGTTGTGGTGGAGCTTGGGAATCCTCAAGAGCTTAGAACAGCTTCAGCTTTCTCTTCTAGGTCAAGGTCCACTAACCCGACCCAAAATTACGCAATAATTTGCTTTCAAAAGATGTTCAAACTTGACCCAATTAATATTTAGTGGCTAGTGTGCAAAATGAAAATGTTATAAAATTTTAAAATAGTTTACACACTAGGGGTACTATGCAAGTATACGTATCGTTTCAAGTAATATAGTGCTTTCTTCTAAGACCTCAGTATCGATCCCAAAGAGGAGAAAGATAAGAAATTCCTTACGCTAATTCTAGCCTACTACTATCAGTCCATATTTTAGAATGTCGATTAAATTGATTTTTTCTAACAACTACTTTTAAATGAAAATATTAAATATAAAGAAAAAAATTCTGGATATAAGGATAACTTTTCTGGATAAATTGTTTTGAAGAAATTTAAGATGTTAAAAACTACCCTTCTCGTGCAATGACCTAGATAATGTGTAAGAATGAAATTGTTAAAATATAATAAATATAATGTTAATGTTGTCAGTGACAAATAAGAGCATACATATTCTTTACCCCTCCCGGGGCTAGTAAAAGATATTAACTAATCTAGAGTTTTTCACCCGCTTGTGTTAGTATTGAGTATATTATGACCTCTCACTTCCAGATTACCCACTATGTTCTCTCTATAGGATCTATTAGGGACCCTTACGGTCCAAACTCTAAAGTGAATTAATAAAAGATTCTAGTATGTCACTCTAGAAACATCAATTTTACGCCCATCAAAATTTATCTTCTTATTTATTTGCACTCCCCCACGTGATTGCAATGACTCTGCCCAAGATAAAATGTGGTACTCACTAGTTTGATGAAATCATAGTCCTTCTGGGTCTTCATGTTTCGCATTGGATTTTAACCTCACAAGTGATCAGTTTGCAAAGTAAATTAAGAGCCGATGAAAATACCATCACATTAATAAAATAAGAGAATATCTAAGTAAATCTAAATTTCTGAACATGCATCTATTTCATTGGAAAAGAAAAGTAAAATGAAGATAATGGAAGAAGTAGTAAAATGATTGATAAAATTAAGTAATAAATTATGTGCCAACAAGGAACATATGTTTACCTACCCTCTTTCAACTGTATAGGTATGCTTACTATTCTATTAGTTTCATGCAACTATCTGTCACATTGAAGCATCTAATAGAAACAGATCATTAAAAGATCATTAAATTCAGATCATTAAATTACATTTCCTTAAAAGTTGCATTGCCGCCTAAACTATTTTACTAGCCAACCGGTCAATGTGAGTGCACTCAAATTACAAGATCATTGCTCTCCCGAGTCTTAGTTTCACATGCAACAAATTTTAACATAACTTATTGCCACTTAAAATACGTCAATGAAGTAAATGGTATATTACTCATCACATGAAAATAAAAATAATTCTATCATGAAACAAATTTTCCTGCACATGCCAATACTTTATATTAAAAGAAAAGAGTAAAGAAAACTACTCATGAAGCATGGATAAAACACCAAAGAAAACTTTGTTTAAATCAAAGAAAATCCACTAGAAAGTATTTACACCAATTATAAGATAATGAAGAACACAATACTTAGTTTTTTCCCTCTGAAAGAAAGATGAAAAATCTCTCCACTAAAGTCTCTTGCCTATCGATGCGCCGCTCGTACATTCCTTACACATATCTCTCAAAATCCCTCACTAATCTCTCTAGGAAAAGTGAAAATTTACATCTTTATACTCACACCAAAATCCTCCTAAAACACTCACTAATTACTTCTCTAAGCTCCCCTAATTACCTGTCATGAGAGGCACCAAGCCTCTCTATTTAAAGAGAAGCAAAAACCCCTCCTTTCTAAAAGAGACACATCTCGTCATCTAAAAGACACACCATTTCACTCCAAGAGACAGGTCTCTTCATTCAAAAGCCACTCCAAGTGTTTAGATTCATTCAACCACTCTAAGGGGCATGGAAGTTGTCCAGAAGCTTCCAGAACATCCCAAAATGGTCCAGAATAGAACAAAAAATCGTCCAGAAACCGTCTAGGGCTCTATAGCACCAGTTTATAGTTTTGTATGGCGCTATAGTGCCACCTTGCGGGCAAGTTCGACGTTTCCCCTCGTTTCTCTTTGTTTCAACACCATTTCGCCCCGTTTCAGCTCTATTTCTCTCCAAATTGATATATCTATAAAATAATCATGAAAATATCATTTCTTTAATATATAATTTCATTAAAAAACATGGGATAAATTTAAGGAAGATTAAACATAGAAAGACATCGAAATATGCGAGGTCAAAATTTTCTTCCTGGCTCAATTTGCCTCGAAATTGCACTGTTTTTGCTTCATTTTCATTTAAGCTCCAATTCTTATATTTGAAACAAAAAACATTCAAAATATCTTCCTTTAAAGGCAATATCATAAAAAAAGTACATAAAATGATCATGATATGTACATTAAAAAAAGGTAATTATAAGGTGGATCATTCTCCCAAACTTAAACGTTACTTGTTCTCAAGTAACACTACAACTTTAAAAATATGTTGATTTATTTTAGTAGGGTTCTTTAATATGTACTAAAATTTTGGTCTAGAAATGATATAGTCCAACTTAGAAGAATTTACAGTAAATTAGATGAAATCTAAGATATCAGAATATTTAGTATTAAACTTAAAAATCTTGATTTTCTATTTAATTCAAAAATAATTAAAAATATTCCAAAATTAGAGAAATATTAATTTGGATTCTTAGAGAAATATTAATTTCAGAATTTATGGCATCTAAAAATAATTTAACTTTGGATTCTTAGAGAAATATTAATTTCAGAATTTATGACATCTAAAAATAATTTTACAAATACTTACTGAAATTATGCTTAGGATTTATAAGTTTTCTTCTTTAGAGATATTCAAGTGAAACCAATTTTTAATTAGGTCTTTATTCCTCAAGCTTCTCGTCTCTTTTTCGTACTTTACTTCTCTTTTCTTTTTCTTTTCTTTTCCTTTCTTTTTTTTTTCTTTTCTTTTTCTTTTCCTTTTCTTTTCTCTGGATCTTTTTAATCTCTACATTTTTTCTTTGGCG